TGGGTTGGTTGTGTCAAAGTATTGGTTTTTTTTTACAAATATGCACGTGATATGTTGTTGCTTTTTTAGTCTAGGTGCTTGTTTTTTCGTAAGTAAGTTTGCTACTTTGTTGATCCTCTTCACAAATTTTCATATTATTTTGAAACTAGGCCTTCACTTAACTTCTTCACTACCGGGAGTCTAAGTCGCTATCTAAAGTTACACGAGTGCCCAGTAAACATCAGATGACTATGATACTTAGCTGTCACTGATGTCGAATTACGGGATATCGTTGCTGGACTTGTCTTTTGTTTCCGGTGATTACCAGTGCTTTGTAGTTCTAACTCTTTTCGAGAAATTTCGGGCAAGCTTACTAAATGAGGGGAACCTCTGATCTCATTCGGCTTGTACATTTCTCGCTGAGTATTGTCTATTCTGCGAATGCTTTTATATGTTATGTGATCACGATGAACTTGCAAACGGAACTTTCAAGGAAATCGCCACCCTCGAAAAGAATTTGTATGAGGACAGTGTATAAAGTGCCAAAATCCTCTGTATGAGGACAGTTTATAGAGTGCCATAATCGTCTACATGAACACTTCGCGTTTAGTAAACGAGAGTACACATCAACTGCCGGTTTCCAATTGACTGACTACGGTAAAGTGCTTTTTTGTTCGTAGGATTTTGTTAATCTAAGTTGGTTTGATTACGGTACCTTGTGTACTTGCGCTTCAGATCACCTAATGGACCTTACCTACGCTCCATACTCTTCCACGCGCTCGCCACTCACCGAGTTCCCTTCATTGAGGTCTCGCTTTTTTATTTAGATTTTTTCTTTCTCATTCTGTTTTCCTTCGCAATTTCTTTGATGCGGCTGCCGCGCTTGTTTACTTTGCCTGTTGTTTATTTGTTTACTATTTCCCGAAACCAGTGCAAGATCGTGTTTGGAGACTCCCTCATTTATGGAAAAAATATTCGGTTCATTTTGCTCAAAAATTCAAATTTCCCTTTCAGAGGTTCAGCGGACACGACAGCGTCAAAGTGGGTCATGCGTAGCTACGTTCAGGACTGCTTCTTAAGTAACGGTTAGTTATGGTCGGCTCTCTTGGAAACAAATGATTGATTATATTATATGAGTGTGATTATGTGAGTGATTATATTGTAGCAAAAACGCAAGATCTCATACAAACTCATCCATTCGGAGCCATATTGGTGTTATAACGCATCAATGTACCGGCAGTTTGTACTGGGCCTGCGATCTATGACTGGCATTCCCATTTCACTCATAAAGCAGATAGTTATGACCGCTGAACGTCACTCGGGGGAAAATACTCTTTCGTCTTCAAGTGCGATAGTGTCTCCGCAACCAGATGACACCTTAATATATATCCTACCTACTATAAAGCGCTCCGTCTGTCGTTCTGTCTGTCTGTCTGTCTGTCTGTCTGTCTGTCTGT